TATGAACCCTAGTCACACCTCCCTGCATGTGACTTGCACAGCCTTCCATAAACACTTCCTGTAAAGAAAGCCCTATTTAGGTTTTCTTTATTGCAAGTTCTGTTTAATTAAGATTTTCTTATCCCCTGCCATGTTAATAGCTTGCTAGACCCTGCAAGAGCCTCCTGTATGTGATTAAAGTTCAATTTAGAGATTGGGATACAATTATTTAAGGTAAATTACATCTGTTTGAAAGTGAAACCAGTTTTATTTTTCATGCAGGCTCTGTCAATCATAGCCAGGGGAGGTGTGGCTAGGGCTGCATAAACAGAAACAAAGTGATTTAACTCCTAAATGACAGTGAATTGAGCAGTGAAATTGCAGGGGAATGATCTATACACTAAAACTGCTTTATTTAGCTAAAGTAATTTAGGTGACTATAGTGTTCCTTTAAGGTAAATTACATCTGTTTGAAAGTGAAACCAATTTTTTTTTCATGCAGGCTCTGTCAATCATAGCCAGGGGAGGTGTGGCTAGGGCTACATAAACAGAAACAAGGTAATTTAACTCCTAAATGACAGTGAATTGAGCAGTGAAATTGCAGGGGAATGATCTATACACTAAAACTACTTTATTTAGCTAAAGTAATTTAGGTGACTATAGTGTTCCTTTAAGAATAGTATCGGACAATTAATCCCATATGAAGGAGAGAAATAACCAATCCAAAAATAGAATAGCCAATAGAAAGCAACAAACTAGAGCTAATAAATAAATATATATATATATTTATATATATATATATATATATATATATATATATATATATATATATATATATATATATATATATATAGTGGTAAATCTATTAAAGTAAATCTTCCTGTTTGCCTAAATGTGGCATCACTTACCTTCATGTTTCATGTACTCACTGTACTGCTGATTATACGAAAATATTTATAACAACTGTAGGTTATAGGAGGTATGTAGGCACATGCATGATTACGGCCTTTTATGTCAAATATGTTTTCTGTAATGTTTTTCTGTAATCTATGTTACTTAATAAATCTGATTTAGTGAGTATGAACGATGGAGCCTGTAATCTGTACCTATTAATTCTAGGTTATATTGAGTATGTATTTATCCATGCACACACATAATGTGACACATGTAAACATTTACAAAAAGGCCACAGAAATTGAAATCTAAATAACTATAACTTCTCACACACATTTTGCGCTAGGCCTCACTGTAAAGTGATTGCAGATGTAAAGAACAGAGAAAAATGGGGTTTATTAGATTCGGCCAGAGGCAAAGTATGTCTGAGAATGGTTCAGGTGGCAAGAAGGCCAATAAAGTAAAGGGTTAATTACAAGACTTTTTTTTTTTTTTAAAGAAATAAGATGTTTACAATGTTAACGAATGGTTACTAATGCATGGCTTTATACCATTTCCACATTTTATTTGAGAAACACTGTAATGTTAAAAATATATTTATAAAGAAAAAAAAAAAAAGACAGCAGCAGCTTTTTATTTCAGCACTAGGACAGTCTCCTCCTTGCAGCTGATCTGCCTCCAATCAAATCACCAACCATGAAAACCTTTGTCCAACCCATTGCTCTGGGAACCTAGGGCTCATATGAGGCAACTGTCACTTTCAGCCAATCAAATGTTTCTCATTGAGAAATGCTTCTGTATAAGAAGCACAGCACACAATTTGCTTCTTAAAAAAGTAATCAATTTACAGCAAGGATAATACAATTGATAGGTCAGTGCCAACATGAAAATCCGCTATCGTGACTCTATATGAAGACACCATGCACCCCAGGCACCCACGTGCTAGATCTTTTGACATGCAGTTTTTTCTACAGTAAAAAGCATACAACGCAACAAATACTGCCTGAATGTTCTCGTGCAGGGATTTTAGGATATGCAATTAACAATTCCATAGAAAATGAAAGGAAAATCATAATTGCAAATATCCGATATATTACTGACTGCTGGGACATACAACCAGCTCTCTAGCGTGGGGAATCCCTCGAACCTGAGTCTCAAGAATTCCCCCGAACAAAGATTTGAGGAATTCCCTGCGCTAGAGAGCTGGTCTATGTTCACAAAATTTCCCTGGAATATAATGAGGGATTCCCCGCGCTAGTGAGCTGGTCTATGTTTAAGGGAATTCCCCTGAACATAGACCTGCTCTGTAGCGCACGCGAGGCTTGGTTATCTCGCCACCATCCTAGATTACCGACCAATTCGTTTACAATCTAGCCGTAAGAACAGAACTCAGTTGGTGAGGAGTGCCTTTAATGCATACCGGAACACCACACAAGACTTGCCATTTTGGAGATGCTCTGACCCAATCATCTAGCCATCACTATTTGGCCCTTGTCAAATTCACTCAGGTATTTTCGCTAGTCCATTTTTCCTGCTTCCAACACATTAAATTCAAGAACTGACTCACTGTCACTATGGTTTATCAGTGTATGTATATAGTATATATATTTATTATTATTTTTTCTTTTAATTTTGTCCATTACATTAAAATTGCAGTTTCAGCTTTAGACCAAGAGAATAATTGAAGATGGGATTTAACTTAATTTTCAGACATGGTACATATAAATCTGAAGGTTTAAAAAAGTATGTGAAACAAATAGATCACACACGGTTTTATAAAATTAATATTGTACTTCAATAAACCCCCCCAAAAATAATAAAATAAATAATAATTGATCATTTCCCTTTAATTGCCTTGTGGCGACAAAATGAGCTGTAAACTTTAATTACTCAGCTCTAAAATACAAGGGCATAAAAATCATTATACTACACTGAAACTGGAGAAGAACACAATCGTTTAAAATCAATAAACATAAAATCTCTGGCTTGAAACAATTAGCTAAATATGTTTATTATGATATACTGAAGGCAGGTAACACTTTACTGGATAAATTCTGACCGCAGTCGCTGGAATAAGTAAACCGTATCCAATAGAGGAAATAGAGTAACACACTGCTTTTCACCCTAGGGGAAAGATTATTTTTCACATAATCTGATCATCAAAGAACAAAAACATCAGATTTATAACTATTATCATTATTGCTCTTGGTGCACACAAAGAGTCTTTGTACAACTGACATATGTGGCTGGCTATATATGTGTGTGTGTATATATATATATATGATACAGGCACACACACACCTTTTCCAAGTTGGTTGACAGCAGGCTAATCCATACAGAAATATCGTAGATAAACATTATGGCTCATAGAAGCAGACAATATATCTTGGTTGTTTCTAGCTAAACCAAACAAGGAATCCAAAAGTTCTCCATGGTGCAAGAAGCAATAAAGGAAAACTAACTGTTTAATATTAGGTTTCATCATCCCTTACATTTAATAAATGTGTATTTTCGAAATGAAAGTTAATGTAAAAATGCCCACCTCTTTATCCTGCCCCTGGGCACCTCCAGCTTAGCTCTCTGACAATCATTGATATAATCCACACCTTCCAACCAACCTGCTTTCGGTGGGGCTCTTCTGATTTTTGGGTTCTGTCGTGCCATCCAGACTTTGTTCCTTTGTGGGCCACTTTTAGGGACACCAGGTAATTGTCTCCAAAAAGTGTTGCGCGAGCACATCATTAGACATCCTGCACTCAGGGCACCAGGATCATTTAGAGAGCACTAAAACAGAGCTCCATGTATGTCTTGTCCAACCTCAGTGGGCTGGCCTGCCAGTAATTCGGATGGACTTGCCACCTTTCTGGGCGTGCTTGCCTCCTTTGGGAAGCATCAGGTCACTTTACCCCCCACCAGGGAGCATCATGGGATGCCAATGTTGAGGGGAATGTATAAGCTCGGTCATTAGAGCCTGGAAGGCAGCATAGAGAAAGCACACAGAGTCGAGGACAAACTGAGTGGTGTTACTGCTTTCAATCCTCATTAGCCTTTCCTTCCCTAGGCTGTGCCTGGACTGAAATGGATTATGATGTAATTCGCTAAATCTTTAATATAAATTTTAAGGAAAATTGAGCACCATTGAGAACCTCCAAGTGGAGGTTCCAAAATAAATTCCCAAAAGAAAAACATGCATATCCCCAATAGTCATTACAGCTAAATATATTATAGTTTACTAACATTAAAATATTAATCTGCCCGTAGTATTGTTTTAAATTAAGATATTTAAATAACACTTCAGGTGACAGATCAGTTTTAAGGGACACTATTGTCATCATAACAATTACAACTTAATGTAGTTGTTCTGGTGAGCCTAGTCAGTCCCCTGCGGGCATTTTTATGTAAACCCTGCTTTTTTCAGAGAATTTTTCCAAAACATTACACAATTAGTTTAAATAGTATATAGTATCACAATATTTCATTTAACAGTAAACAAAAATACATAGTATATTTAAAGAACGCGATATGTACATACACATACTGATTTCATACCTTCTGGAAGAGAAGACATTTTTTTTTAACAGATCTATTTTAGGGATCGACCGATATTGATTTTTTAGAGCCGATACCGATATTCTTTGAACTTTCAGGCCGATAGCCAATATAATTTGCCGATATTCTGTACATTTACCATTTTGGAAAATAAAAACTATTTCTAAAGGTAAATGCACAAAATATACATGCCGCGTGTAGTGGATTTAGTGTGACAGGGGAGCTGTGTGTGTTTGTGTAGTGTGTAGTGGATGCAGTGTGTGTTTGTGTAGTGTGTGTGTGTAGTGTGTGTTGTGTGTGTGTAGTGTGTGTTGTGGATGCAGTGTGTGTTTGTGTAGTGTGTGTGGAGGATGCAATGTGTGTTTGTGTAGTGGATGCAGTGTGTATTAGTGTAGTGTGTATATAATGAAAGCAGAGTGTTTGTGTAGTGTGTGGGTAGTGTGCGTAAAGTGAATGCTGTATATACTAAATGCAAAGTGTGTGTGTATATAATGAATGCAGAGTGTGTGTGTATTTGTGTAGTGTGTGTATAGTGAATGTAGTGTGTTTATATAATGCAGAGTGTGTGTGTTTGTATAGTGTGTGTATATAATGCAGTGTGTTTGTGTAGTGTGCATTATATAAACACACTACACAAACACACTGCATTATATATTATATGTGTTTGTATAGTGTGTGTATATGATGCAGTGTGTGTTTGTGTAGTGTGTGTATATAATGCAGTGTGTGTGTTTGTGTAGTGTGTGTATATAATGCAGTGTGTGTGTTTGTGTAGTGTGTGTATATAATGCAGTGTGTTTGTATAGTGTGTGTATATAATGCAGTGTGTGTATTTGTGTGCATTGTATACACACACTATACAAACACACACACTGCATTATATACACAGTGTGTTTGTGTAGTGTATGTGTATATAATGGAGTGTGTGAGGGGGCATTTTTTATTAAATTATTATAATTTTTTTATATTTAATTATTATTTATTTTTGTTGTCCCCCCTCCCTGCTTGTTGCCTGGCCAGGAAGGGGGGATATAGCAGTCCCTGGTGGTCCAGTGGCATTGGCTGAGCTGGGGGGGGTGGGGGGGGGTGAGATGGCGGAGAGCAAGCGCTTACTCACCTCCCAGCAGCTCCTCCAGCTCCCCAGTGTAACTCTCACGGCCTGCGTGATACCGAATATCGGCCGATTATATCGGTAAAACAGATAATCGGTCGATCCCTAATCTATTTATTACTTGTGTAATAACCTCAGAGGGAAGAGTTTGGGGGACAAACGGTTTCAGTCACTTCATAGGTTTGTGATATGTGTATTCCAAGATAAATAAATCTTTTACAAAAACGTAGATTGTTGTGATTTGTATAAATAGCTTTCTTTATATAATATTGGTAATTAACTTGTCTTTGGATTTCATTCCATGATGGAGGATACTGTTTTTTTCCCCAATAACTAGCGATATAGATCTAAGCTGCCATTAAAAAGAGGCACTATCAAGAATGACTTGGTTTATTAATATTAGGTAAATCAAGATGGAAAATAAATATTTGGCTGGTAAGAGTTCTGTTTGTTTTTCCTGCCATTCTATTGAGAATTTCTTTTAGTTTCATTTTTACATTATCTAGTACTTGGCATTCCCACCAGATATGTCTATGAGTGCTGTGTTGCTCATTGCATCACCTGCAATTCAGGGATATAGATCTTTACATTTTATTTAAAGGACCACTCTAGGCACTCAGACCACTTCAGCTTAATGAAGTGGTCTGGGTGCCAGGTCCAGCTAGGGTTAACCCATTTTTTCATAATTATAGCAGTTTCAGAGAAACTGCTATAATTATGAATGGGTTAAGCCTTCCCCCTAATCCTCTAGTGGCTGTCTCATTGACAGCCACTAGCGCTTGCGTGCTTCTCACTGTGATTTTCACAGTGAGAGCACGCAAGCGTCCATAGGAAAGCATTGTAAATGCTTTCCTATGCGACAGGCTGAATGCGCGGCCTTGCTCTTGGCGTCGCATTCAGCCCAGGAAGGATGGGAGGAGGAGGAGAGCTCTCACCCAGCGCTGGAAAAAGGTAAGTTTTTAACCCTTTCCCCCTTCCAGAGCCGGGCGGGAGGGGGTCCCTGAGGGTGGGGGCACCCTCAGGGCACTATAGTGCCAGGAAAACGAGTATGTTTTCCTGGCACTATAGTGGTCCTTTAAGTTTACTGGTACAAAGTACCATCTGTACAGAAGTTTTATTTCGTTGTTTTTTTTAATACAGATATAATGAATAGCTTTTTAAAATATATTAAAGGCATTGTTCCATGCCACTAATGCAAATTATTTTTCCAAGTCCTCTTCCCCTATATTTTTATTTCAATCCAAACTTTTTCTTTTTTTCCAAATCATTCGCTACGCTTGCTCAATACGGATTAATTCCTCTAGCAGAGTTTCTTCCACTAAATGGACTGCCCACAGAAAATGTTTAATTCTTAGATAAAAGAAAAGAACTGACGAATCAAGTATTAGTATTGCTCGACTTGTTGAAATGTCTTAAAGGGACACTACAGTCACCAAAATAACTTAAAGGAACACTGTATGCACCCAGACTACTTCAGCTCATTGAAGTGGTCTGGGTGCAGTGTCACTGGTCTCTTAACCCTTCAGGGGTAATTATTGCCGTTTTAGAGAAACTGCAATAATTACCTTGCAGGGTTAACTCCTCCTCTAGCGGCTGTCTACCTTGGTTGTCTAAATGACGCTGGACGTCTTTGTACTATGGATGAGGACTTCCAGCGTTATTGGAATCCTCATATTAAAGAATTGAATAATGGTTTCCTAGGTGAAAATCCTAACTCCTAATGAGAGCGCGGCCATTGACGTGCATGTGCATTAAATTTCCTCCACTGGCTGACGTCAGTGGGGCCTGACCCAGCACTGATGTCCCTCAGGTAAGTGACTGAAGGAGTTTTAACCCCTTCAGCGCCATGGGAGGGGGGGCATTGTAGGGTTCTATAGTGCCAGGAAAACGTCTTTGTTTTCCTGGCACTATAGAATCCCTATAAGCTTAATGAAGCCATTTTGGTGTATAGATCATGCCCCTTCAGTCTCACTGCTCAATTTTTTTCTTATTTATGAATTAAAACAGTTTGTTTATACAGCCCTAGTCACAACTCCCTGCATGTGACTTACACAGTCTTCCTAAACACTTCCTGCAAAATGAGATCCAATCTTTTACATTTCCTTTATTGCAAACTGTTTAATTTAGATTTGTGTATCTTCTGCAATGTTAATAGGTTGCTAGATCCAGCAGGAGCCTCCTGCATGTAATTAAAGTTCAATTTGCAGAGCAGGAGATAAAAGTTACAGTTACATCTGATTGAAAATGAAACCATTTTGTTTTCATGCACGTTGTGTCAGTCACAGCCAGGGGAGGTGTGGCTAGTGCTGCATAAACAGAAACAAAAGTAATGTAACTCTTAAATGGCTGTGAACTGAGCAGTGAAACCTCAAAGGCCTGATCTATACACAAAAACACGTACATGAACTATACATGCTAAACTCGTTTTGGCGACTATAGTGTCCCATTAAATTTAAAATGTTCATATAGATCTCCAAAACATTTAATATCTCCCCAGTTCATCCATTCATATTTAAATTCACAACCTGGAGACGTTATATGTGTAATGGCGTTTTAACGGAAAATTGGTTTTGCAGGAAGAATTTCTTTTTTAGAATGTTAAGAGTTTGAAAAATATGTAGGAAATAGGAGTAGGTGATGTATAGCGTCCCACGAAGAGACAAGGGGAAACTAACATCAGGAGAGCTCCCCTGGGCACCGTTTAGTAGATCTCCCTTTTTTTCAAGTTATACTTTTTGTTTGCATATCCCTTTTTATCCTTAGATTGATTAAAGTTAGGGCCTCCCTTCCTCATTTCTTATACAGTGGAGCTCTCCTGATGTTGGTTTCCCCTTGTGGGACTCTATACATCACCTACTCTTTCCTACATATTTTGGAGGGTTACCCCCTCATTGGAGCTCTCTATTAGGTGGTTACAATGGTGCAGCTCATGAGCCCTTGACTTGTGTCCGGACTCCTGATCTGCACTCTGTTTACTTTATTTCTCCGTTTTGGGTTTGAAAAATATCCCTTGATATTATATGTTTTGTCTTGAATTGTTTATTACTCCAAAACAGTAGCATAGGTTCTGAATCCAAAAGATTTACAATCCAACATTACAAGCAAGGCTACAATGTACTAGCACTGCTACACCCACTATGTCACCCCTAAGAAGAGGGCATCAGCAAGAGCAGTCGCCAAAGCACCTAATGTGACAATTCCTACTGTGTGTGCATGCTAAGCACTGCAGGATACTGTACACAGCTGACTCTGTACTTCACATCTGTAATCTCTACCACTATGCTAATGTTTTAGCAGCAAGGGCTATGACACATTTGAAGTACTCCCTGTACAGTACTTGAACTGGGTGAAAGCTGTTTGCTGATGGGATTTCAACAATCTTTTGAGCTTTAAAAGTAAATTGCTGGTGCTTTACTCTATTGTTAAACGCTACTCTCGATGGCCACACATATCAGTCGTGCAGTCATGGCTCTAAAAAGCTGCTGCTTTTGGACAGCACTGAGGAACTTCACAGGCAGTGGAGGGTCCATGCCATGCTTGCCAGAGCTGAACTGCTACTCTCCGAAGGCGAGTGGAAATTGTGATCCTTATATATATATGTATATATAAGACCGAACCAAAATGACAAAACATTTTTATAGCATCACATTGTACGTCTTCCCTTTACCTGCCAAAAGGAAATATGGCTGTCTCTGTTTGAATACGTAGCGAGATACCGTCCATCAGGGGCAAAAGAAACTGCTGTAATTGGTCCTTTATGGCCATGGATATTCTGGAAAATAAATTGGGAAAACATTACTTTATTATTTGTTATATACAACACAGCTCCTTGTTACATACAGAAATACACATTTCCTTTAAGTACTTTGGGAAAAATAAATTGAATTTCTCTTTAGTATCGTGGAGATGTGTGCGGTGTAAACATTTCCTCATCATTTCTCCTGAAGGCTTATTGTACATTAGGAGAGCATGCACTTTTTCCTTGTTCAGCATTAAATATTAAATAAAAAAATAAATAAAAAAAATCAGAAACACGTTTTTTTCTTAGTGGTTGTTTGTTGGTAAGCACAGTGTAGAAGTTTATACATGAGCAGCTTTGATTTGAAGTGTAAATCTGTCCAGCTGTGTCTCCTTCAGATCGGACCATTGTCCAAAGGCTTGTTAATCCAGGAGCTCTTGATCTTTAATCATTAGAAATGTATCTGTGCGTGTGTTCTGCATGGCTTCCTAAGCTGTGCAGCTACACCAAACGGCATAACTTATTGAAGGGCTTTGATAAAACTTTGTGACACCACATTCCATCTGTTGGAAATGTTGACTGGAGCTCCATTTGATAATTGCCTCGTCAGATCCTCACAGTTTGGCCTCCTACCCTTATGTGCCTGATGTGTGTGCTCTTTGATTTAATTTCTGGATTTTTCACTAGTTAAAAGAAAATACTGTGACTTGATTAGTTTGCAGAGGAATGCAAACATAACGTATGGATTTTTCCATTTTATGTATTTAAGAAATACGAAATTCTATTGGGCACACCTAATGTACTGATTCAAG